GAAAATTTATGTAGTATTAGAAAAGGATTTTCAGCATTTACTTTGCTGAATCTTTGCTGGATTAACCCTCATTCTACTTCCAACACAAACTGTGAAATATTTCAGTTAAGTCTCCCATATTTGATATATAGGGACTTACCTTATAACAGGCCTTTGCTCTCTTTCCCTCCACAGTAGCAGAAACCAAGCCACAAGGGCAAAAATTAAGTGCAGTGAAAACCTGTTTTATACAAGTTTTGCAAATATAGGTGTATCTCATTTTGGGTTGTGGACCTCATTATCCAAAGCTGTTATAATTTACTCACTGAATTGAAAATTTAGAACCTGGAAAAAAGTGAACTAACTTACCCATAAGATGAAAGCTTATTACCTTTCTGGGACCAGGGATCATGGAGGTGAGACAGAAGTTACTATCTATCTGGAAGTCTCAGAAGGCCCTCTTTGACAGTAATCAGAAGAGTAAGTCCAAAAGAAAAGAAATCCAGTATCTAGGTGAAAAGCACAGAAAGCCCCTTTGGACAGAGAGCCTTTTTGCTTTTTCTTCTTCTTTTACCTTAAGGATGCTAAGGATAATTTCTGAATATCTGAGAGATAAGTTATGTCACTTAGATGTATAAATTAATTTTCAGAATTAGAAAGGGCCTCAAGAGTTGAATCAGTGGAGACTTTTCAATTGCAAGGAACAGAAATTAGTTCAAATGGCTGTATAAGTCAACTTGGGCTTCTGTAACAAATGTCAGGCACTGGACAGCTTAAACAACAGATATTTATTTCTTACAGATTTGGAGGCTAGAAGCCCAAGAACAAGGTGCTGGTCAGTTTGTTTCCTGGTGAAGCCCCTTCCTAGTTTGCAAATGGGCTCCTTGCTGTATTCTTGTGTCTCCTCTTATAAGGATCCTATTCCAATTCATTAAGGTTCCAATTTGATTAGAGAATAATATTAAAGATAAGGACACGTCTCAACAATGCTTTTATTCTTCCCTTATATCATTGACTCACCTTTAAAAGGAAAATACTTTGGGAAAGGCACTTAGCTTCTCTTTCTCTGTTTACTTGAAATAAGTGGAACTTAATGATGTTTGCTCATTGTCTAGATAATCTGAATTGTCACTAAGATTATCAAGGGACAGGGGCAGTATTTGCCCCCAAATGAAATATTTTAATTGTTTCCCTTTGGCTTGGGTCAGAAAAAGCCATAAGGATGCTCAATCTGTATATATACATGTAGTGGGGAAAAAATGTCAAGAGGTTTAATAATTGTTCAGGGGGTAGTCTGTTCATCAGAAGAGAAAAACACAGCTTGCAAGACTCCATGCTACATTTGGGCCTTTAGAAAGCCTCCCAGTCAGCCACTGGACATTTCCTTTACTGGTGTTGACCTCTTCATCTCAGAAGCCCAGGGCCTAAAATGGGACCTGTCTGGCACCTTCTGTTACTGATCAAAGTTTATAGGCATGTTATGAAGATGGCCTCAAAAAATCACCTGATTTTTTTTTTTCTTTTGAAGTGTGCCTTACAGCCATGTGACCTTGGTGTGCCCTAGGATTACAATCTTTTAAGCTCATCACGAAATTACCTTGGCAAATTGCTCAGCTTTTCTGTTTCAATTTCATAATTTAGTTAAAGTAAATAATACCCTGGCTGGCCTGAGATTTAAAATGAGATACTACACATTGAAGAGTCTGGCAGTGTTGTGCCCCAGTAAGCCCTCAGTAAGGGGTAGTCATTGATTATCTTTAACCTGAAAGACTATGGGGCGAGGTGTAGAGGACTTTGTTTTTTGCCTGTGCTGTGCTTAGAAGATCACCAACATCTGTTGTTTAAATAGTGCCCTCAGAAAACAGCAGTTTCTTAGTAATCAGAGGCAGTCTAAAGTTAATTGTGCACAAAATGAATCATTCTTTCTAATTGCTTACTGAATTTTCTCTGGAGTACTTTCATGTAGGAAGGAGGAAATATAAAAACTGCTTATGTAGTTGGAAGCCATCTACCTTTAATTTCAATACAAAAACAAAAAGGAAAGCTGCCTCTCCTAAAACTCAGAGTTGCTCATGTGTCATTTTTAAGGCCAGAATGAGGCTTTGTCTTGGATGTTCTTTACCCAGAGATTTAATCCATAAGGGCACGTTTCTCTCTGTCTTGAGTTTCTTGCTCTGTTCCCAGTTTCCCACTGCACGGCAGCTTCCCAGAGCCTCTGAGCACTGGCAGGGAGCAGCCCCGTTCACAGTAGCTGGCACTGGAAGAAACAGCAGCAGCGAAGGCCTTCCTCCTGCCAGACCCTCTGAGCATTTGCAAATAACACCATGAAAGGCAGAACTGTGCGTTCACTCTTAAGTAAATTAAAATTAACGAACTGTTTTCTTCACTTGGGATATTATTTTTCCCTCTTAAGATTATAGTACCATATAGTCTATTCTGTCATAATGGAGGTTCATGGCTAAAAAGTAGGAATGGCTGTGAACCTGAAACAGTGTGAGATATATATAAAATGCTCAAGCTTTTTGCTGATCAAAACCAATTTTTTTAAACTTCAATCGTTTTGAAGGCTGGAGCCCATGTCAAAGGAAGCATACTGGTAGTTGATCAAGCGCCACTTTCACGCAGGGCTCTGCAATTCGTCATATCCTCACTGAGCACCACTGTGTACAAGCTGTGCACGCCAATCTAGGAAATACCAAGAGGTACATGCCAGTTTCTGCCCTCAGGAGCTTAGCTCAACTCAATAAATGTTGTGTACCTGCACTGATGCTTTTCCATGTTCTGCCAGCATTTAAGCACAATAAGAAATTTTCTTAAGCCTAGTGTCATGGAGTTCAAAAGCAAGCTTAAATAGGTTTGGTTTAGAAAAGGCTCACTGGATGCAGAGGCCAGGCACAAGGGAGAAAACATTTGCAAACAGTTATCTGAGTGCAGGCTTTGAATCAGGTTTGTTCCACATATCATCTCATTTACAAATATGATTTAACGACTCTTGTTTGTAGTTCTTTGTAAGTTAATGACGTTGGAAAATATGATTAGCAAAAAACATGATCAGACTAGACATACTATCCTGGAACCTGGTTTTGCTGCTTAATACATTTTGGACGTTTCCTATGTCGTTAAGTATGCTTTTTCACATTACTTTTAATGACTACATTATTTCTCCAGCCATTTCCCTTAGTTAAATAACTAAGTTAGGTAAGAAGATATATATAAATTGGGTGTGTAGCACAATGGTAGAGTACATGCTTACCATGTGCAAAGCCCAGGGCTCAATCTCCAGCATCCCTTATAAAAAGATATAGATTGATATAAAGATATCTGTCTGCATATATGTGTGTGTGTATAATGCGTATACATATAATTTATATAAAATTAGGTTTTACATATAACATGCTATTTTGAGACCTGGTTTGCACACCACACACATGCACACACACAAACTAATTATATAAAAATTACACCATGAAAATAGAAAATATTTGTAGAAAATATGTAATCTGGAGAGTGGACACATTTCTAAATGCATGATATTATAACTAAAAACAGATGAATGGTTTTGAACACAAAAAAGAATTATTGGGTATTAAGAGCACTATAAATAAAATGCAAAAGCATTGCCCATTCTAATTCTCAAAACAGTTCTGTGAAGTAGGTACTTAAATTCCTTTTAGAGGGGAGAAAACTGAGTCCCAAAGAAATGACATTGTGAAAAAACAGATTCCTGTGAGATCCAGAGCTTGGTGAAGCAGGAGGCCTGATAGATAGCATGTAGAATGAATAGGTAACTCAAGCTGGTCACCACAACAGCCCTGGGTGTGAAGCCTGGCTCAGCCTCTTTGGGCAAGGTGATGGAAAAGCTTCTTTCAAGACAGTTACAAACATTATACTTTCATTCCAGCTTTTGAAGTGCTCACTTATATCTGCTCTCTCATGTTAACTGTTGTGACAAAAAAAGATACTTTTGTGTCTTCAAAGGTTTGTCAGGTGTATTTTCAAATGCAAAATTTCAGAGACATCAAGGGCAGACAAAGTAGGTTCTGATTACTAAAGTCTTCGATACCTTTTTATTAGCCCTTGTAGAGTATATTGTACTATGTTTTAAAAACTAGAAATTATCAAGGTCACAGTTAATAAGGTTACTATAATAGTATACTATTATTAATTGCTCATTAGAGAGAGATAAAGCCAAAATGTAAGAGTAATTGTTAATTCAATAAAATAAAATAAGAGAATGATTATAGCTATCCTCACAGTCTATCAGTGGGAGCATCTAGAATGGAAAACTTTATATCTCATGATTTTAGATCATATGTAGGTGAAAGCAATCAAGTTTAAAAATTCCTCATCTTGGACATGAACAGATGGCTCATTGATTGTCTACTGTAAAATGTTTCTATGCATTTGATCTACAATTTGACTTAAAACGGGAATACATATTTATCTCCTTGGGGGTAGCAAAATTTATGCTGTGTAATAACCTTGACACATTTACAGAATCACGTTTAATGAGTCCTCCAGAGCTCTGGTGAATACTACAGTTTAGTCTGTTTTCTGCATTTTTTAGGAATCTGGAAAAGCTGTAGGAAATGAAATATCTATCATAAAATTTTTGCATTGAGCTCAACTACTGTTCTCTTAAAGTTTAGTGAAACAATCAAGAACTTATGTTCTTTTTAACTGTAGTCAAAATTGAACTTATGAGATTCTTATGGCTGCTTAGAATTAGTGTTTGTACTACAAAGAATAAAGATTTTTAGCCTTATTCAGACCTACATATAATCCTTGAAAACTAATAGTCTTGGGATGGGAGTGTGGCTTAGTGGTAAAGCACTTGCAAAGCATGCATAAGGCCCTGGGTTTAATCCCTAGCACTGAAGGAAATAAAAAAGAAAAAAAAAGGAAAACTTTATTACTTAGTTCCAAATACATACATATAGACTTGTATATGTATATAAACATATTTTACATAAAATATACAGATGGTGTTCGTACAAGTACATTTTTTTTCTCTCAAACAGATAAATAATCAGATCCTCTATGGAAGAAGTCACCAAAATGCATCTGCCATTATTAAGACTGCCCCATCCAAGGTCAAACTTGTTTTCATCAGGTAAGATATAGATAGGTCTGGTTTTCTAAAATCTATAGTCTCTTCTAAAGATGTTTTTATTGGTGTAATATTATTTTATTTTTGGTTTGTGTAAGAAAATCACTGTCTTTTCTAAAAATATCTTTTCCTTTTCTGTCACATTATGAAAAGTACTATGGGGTTTTTAACTATGGGGTTTTTCTTGTTTGATTGTTTTGTTTTGTTTTATTTTGTTTTACCTGATAGAATTGGGAGTTGAGGTTAGTATTTATGTTTCCATTATTAAAAATTCTTACCTTGCTGGATTTGGTTACTGTGTATATAAATATAATGGAGCCCTCTAATTTCTCCTGACACCATCTATAGACTCACTAACGTCTTCATCAGAGAATCAGCAGGAAACAACCCAGGAAAGTTTGGGGAGCTTATTAAGAGTGCTGGTGAGAGATCCAGAGTGAGGAGATGTCAACTCTGCTGTTGAGAATGGTGTGTGTTTGGGAGTCCGCAATTATCCAATCTGACCTCCTACCTGACTGAGCCCTTGTGGTGTAAATGAATCAGAGTAGCCATTATTGCCACATCAGCAGTAGAATGAGGTTCTTTAATTCTCTGTTATTTGGATGAAATGATAAGTAAATCTGAATTGTTTTTAGGTGATGTAACTAGCCCTATTCATTAATGTCACCCTCTAGACCTTGGTTATCATCTGTAAAGTGGGGAATAGCAAAGCCCTACCTCTTTCAAAAAGTTTAAATGTCAACACAATGTTGAACATATAGTAATATTAGCTGCTATTTTATAATTTGTCTTGTTCTTCCCTTTCTCATTAGTTGCCAGTGATAAGAGATCTGTCCAATCACAGGGAACCCTGGGATTAGAGGGGACTTTCGTTCCCAGGATTGAAATATTCCTTCCCATGTTGATTTTCAGCCTTACCTGGACTTGCTACTTTTCTCCTGAAGCAGTCCTGCTCTGGAGCCCTTGTCTCCTACTTGGTGGTCCTTCCTAATTTTCTACCTACTAACGAGGGAGGAAACGTTGCCAAGCATGGTGGTGCACGTCTGTAATCCCAGCAGCTTGAGAGGCTGAGGCAGGAAGATCAAGAGTTCAAAGCCAGCCTCAGCATCTTAGTGAGGCCTTAAGAAACTCAGCAAGACCCTGTTTCTAAATAATTTTTTTTTTAAAAGGGGGGTGGGGGCCGGGGAAGTTGCTCAGTGGTTAAGTGCCCTTGGGTTTAAATCCCTGTTTAAAAAAAAAAAAAAAAAAAAGAGCGAGAGAGCTTTCTTCCTTCTTATGTGCCCTTGTATGTTCAGGCTACCCCTTCAGGCTTGCTCACCTTGATGTGCTCTATTGGCACCTTCTCCATTTTTGGTTCCCTTGTTCCTCTTGTCAGGGGTTGAATGAGAATTAGATGATGAAAGCCTAAACAGTTTTGAAGAAAATTCAGCCATACGAGATGTCATCTGCAAGAGAGGTCCACACAAGTAATGGGTCTAGGTGTGAGGACATCATCTAAAGCTGTGTGAGGACTGCGTGAGAAGGTGTGTGAGGCACTGCTGTGGTCTGGATGTGGTTTGAGTGTGTCCCTTAGGGATCGTGGTTGGAAGCTTGGACCCCAGTGTGGATATGTTGAAAGGAAGGGGGACCTGGAAAAGGTGAGGCCTAGTGGAAATTGATAGGTCACTGGGGACCCCACCCTCAGGAGGAATTAAGGTGGTTCTCAAGGGACTCTGTGGTAGTTCTCTGGAGAGCAAATCATAGAATAAGCCTGGGCTGGGGGTATAGCTCAGTGGTACATTACGTGCCAGGCATACACAAGGTCTGGTTTCAACCCTGAGAGCACTGCAAAGGGAAAAAGGAAAAACGAAAAAAATGAAGGAAGAAGGTGCATCCTGCCTCCCCATGTGATCTCTCCCTCTCTTACACACTCCCACTGTGATACAATCTGTCAGGAGGCTTTTGTCAGAGCCGCCAGTACAATGCTGTTTGGACTTTCAGCCTCCAAAACTGAGAGCTAAACAAGCCTCTTTTCTTTGAGTTTCCCATTCTTAGATATTTTATTGTAGCAATGGAAAATGGACTAAGATACGTTTCTAACAATGTCGCTCTATAGGGTTTAGTATTGAGTGGTGGCTGCTGCTGCAAGTGTTGCTGTTGACATTACTGCTACCTCTTCAGCATCTGTGAGGTCTTTATTCCCAGTTCTGGGCTATCCTATTTTAATAGAGAGAGAAAAAAAAGTTGAATCAGATCCAGAGGAAATAATGTATAAAATGCAGTATTTAGGAAAGAGAACCCTTTTCCTTCCATGAAGAAAGCTCAAATGATTTGAAATTATATAGAATACAGAAGAGAAAGCTGAGTAGAATTTTAATCAACACAATAAAGCCCCATTGATTTAGTGTCAGATTTCAATTTCAATTGTTCAGAACAGAGCAGAATCAGTCAAGAAAATAATTTGCTGAGTAAATTGACGGTGCCTGTAAGATTGAGGGTGCTGCTAAATACTTATTTATTGAAGTGATTTTCAGCGATTTAGAGATATCCATGTTCATTCAAAATAATTATGAAATATATTAGTCCATTCTGGCTGCAATGACAAATGCCATAAACTGTGTCTTTTAAACAACAGAAATTTATTTCTCAAAGTTAGGAATGCTGGGAAGTCTGAGATCAAGGTGCTGGCAGACCTGGTTTCTGCTGAGGGCCCCGCTTCCTGTCTTATTGAAGGTGTCTTCTGCTGGGTCTTCTTCATGTGGCAGGTGGGAACTAATCCCTTTCCTGAGGGCTGCACCTCTTTCCTCATATTTTCATGTTGGGGATTAGGTGTCAACATATGAACTTGGAGGAAAACACAAGCATTCAGACCATAGCACGCACATTTCTTACAAAGTCATTCAATTATAATGTCTAACAAATAATGAGCATTCAGAAAACTATTGAAAAAATTTACTTTTTAGCTCCAACAAAACAATTGTAGATGGTCTATTTCCAAAAGCAACAATCATAGTTTAGTTACTGTTATTATAATTGTACAGATTTAAATATATACATTTATTTACTTATTTATTGAACTCTGTATTCAACAAAATTTTTCAGGACTCAGTCCCTCTTCCTATTATTGTACCAAATTCACTAAGTTTGGAAGATCTTTATGTATTCTTTTATAGAAAGAAAAAAGACATAGGAGTGATTCTGAGTAATCAATTGTCATATCCACTTTGTGACCATGAGTTTAAATTGAACCAGGAGAGACGTACACACAATTGATAGCTTTTTGTTGAGTAGATGTGTATCTGATAATTTGTGTGCCAAAATTTAATTAATGCTTAAGTTGCCATAAAGGAGGAACTGTTCTTCTGTCAACTCTTTTTTCCTTAAAGAGACAGCTTTCTTTCCTAAAGCCTGGCTGAATTACAAGACTTTGTGATTGAAAGAAGAAACCCTGGATTCATTCTGTCTGGACTTGAATCCCAGCTCTATAGAACCCCAGCTAAGGGAGCGTGGTCAATTTCCTGACTCCTTATTATGGGTCTGATATAGCCATCTCATAAACTCTCTAATGTATTAGTTCATATAAATTACTAGTCCACATGGACTCAACAATGTTTGCCACTGTGGTGATGATTATGATTATGGCAACAAAAGGTGAGAAAAGAAAGAGGAAGGAAGGAAGAGAAACCAGAAAAAAAAGGAAGGAGGATAAGGAAAAAAAAAAAGAATCATTGTCTCTTATATACTTTTCCCCTCTGTTTACTTTTGTAACTCCATAGTGTTGAATATTTTTTAAGTGACTCACATTCATAAAGAAAAACCTAATTAACACAAAGGAATCCCCATATCTATTATAAAATATAATAGATTTTACCTGGGTGAGTAATATCAAATAGTGTCAGAATTTGAGGCACTTAATGCAAAGAATAAAATATTTTATTGCTCCTCAAGTCTGCATATAACTAATGGAGTAATAATAGTAGATTTGCATCCTCTTTATATGTAGTGACCTTTATGGATACTCTGGGGACACATGGTAGATTTCTGTCCTATTTATACATTGGGACCTGTATTAACCAATAGGGTTAAAATGGTAAATTTGCATCCTGTTATACTTGGTGGCCTGCATATTCAGATTGTTTGTCTAGCTCATTATGTACCTAGGTATGTACCTTTTCACCTCTGCCTTATATGTTACCACTTTCCAACTATTGTTATAAAAACCCCAATTTTGCCTATTTTGAAACCAAATCCAGAAACAAGTAAAAATTGATTTTTTAACAAGTTTCAGGAGCTAGACACTTGAATCATCTCAGCACCACAAATGGGATTATAATTATGAACTCTGTGTCACTTGTACTGTGTTACAAGGTTACTTTGAAAACTAGTCTCTAAAGCTGTTAGTGTTTCTACTGGCAAAATTTCCTTCCTTAGTTGAAATTATTATCCCCTGTGCCTTTCCATTATACAGAAAATCTTGCCTTTTATATCGTGGCAGCTCTTTTTCAAGTTTTTTGACAACTGAAATTAAAAAAAACACTGGCCACAGGTTTTGAAGTGAGATTAGCAGTAATCTCAAAAAGCTGTTAAACTCTGCTGTGGACAACACTTTAATTAACTAAAGGCCGTCTATAGTGATGTACACTTGTGTGATCATGTCCTTGTCATATTCTCTTAACACATGTATTTATTCATACACTAATTGATTTGTCATTTGCAAGGGATCTATGGGTCATTAGTGAAAATTAACAAGTTATATATACATAGCTTACATTGTCATTTTTCCCCTTTCTTTTTACATCATTAGATTTCCACAGTCCTGTAGATTGTATCCTAAACATGTCAATTCTCATATACTAAAGTATTTAACTTTGCATCATCCAGATGTGTATCACAGTCTGTGTTCTTACAGTGTACCACACATTCAATTCTATGGGTTTTCCTGTTTGGCATTATCCCCTCTACATGAGCAAACCAATTTAAGTACAGAAGGAGACCTCTATCAGTACGATGAAGAAGGAATTGCT